GAGAGAGAGAGAGAGAGAGAGAGAGAGAGAGAGAGAGAGAGAGAGAGCAAAGAGAGCTAAATATAAATGGAAATGAAAGGTAGAAGGTATTTTTTATATTTTCTGGTTCAATAAATGTTGGCTTATAAAACACAGGCTCGTAAACTGAATTTGATCAAACTATTGCCGAATTAAGCTGCAGCTTTTCTACCTGTACGCCGCGTGTACACTTGACCAATATCCGTTGTTAGTTCTCTTCGTTGTTCGACAATAGACATGTAGTTTCGGGTCCAGACACAAAATGGATTTCAAATTATTTCAGCTTTTGTGTTTTGTGGCTTTTTGTACGGCGTACTCGCATACATGCAGCAGCAAAAAGAAACTAGAGGAAACATTTGAATATGGAAGTGATTGCATATCATTTTGTGGCTTAACATATAGATATTGAAATGGGTTACACTCAGCCTTTATTCTGATATCAACACGTACAAAACATCAAAATAGCATTGGTACATTCGGAGTATTTTACTCTGGTTTGATTTGGCGTGTGTGTTTGTGTGTGTGGCGGCACTCGTTATGGATGCGAACAATGTACTAATGGTAAATGAAATTAATATTCCTGCTATCGTTCTATTGTCAGCCACCAATGGCATTTTGTGTACATACGGTTTTTCTCACTCTTCTCACTGAACTGAATTCAGAAGCAATTCACTTTACTACTATACCTATGTTGTTGTTGTTATTATTGTTATTTCAAATGTGAGAATATGGTTAGACATTAACGGATACGCGCGTACGCATCAAGCAGCAAGCTAACACAATTATTTACTTAAACCGTCATCATTTTTAGGTTAACAATAATTGAATCGAGATTTGTGTAATGCGTGCCAATGTGGTGAGAATATTACGAGAAACAGAGATCTGTTCACAACGACATGCATATCATCAGACAAACTAACGAAATTTGCGAATCAAATGAAATGTTTGTGTATGTTCATCGGTGGCCATTCTCATGTTAGATGAGGTAGCATGCATTTCAACATCAGGAAATATGCTTACAGCCAATTGTATTTTGCATCGAATTTGTGAGACTAAAGATTTTAATGTCTATTGAAATATGTATGCACACACACGCTCACCACACATTCACATTTCATGAGTTACCCACTTAAATGGCTTTCAATTTTCGTTACATTTCAAAATAAGGTTTGAACAAGTGTAATACAATGTAATAATGCACTTTCAACATACAGCACACACCGTTAATCCTTATCGCGATGCATTCTATAAGCCTAACCCTTTTGCATTTATATTCATCATGTGCGCATTTCTGATTTTCAAATAGTCAAACTAATCGGCTTTGGTCCCAAAATGAATGCATGCCATTTTCTATTGACACTTTCGCAAATATTCAATGTTGAATTGAATTGAGGATTTAAGTGTAATTGCACTATTCGATGTATGTGCTTCAGAATATTATTTTATTCTAAACGATTTTCCATTCGCTTCGTGATGATTATGTTGAAAACTTAATTTACAAGTTGTAAGATGCTTGCGTGCCAATTTGAACGTAGGTGTATAGTTTGCAATTTACAAAATCGCCTGCAGCCAATATAAATTCACCCAGCACATGAACCGTGATGTTCATCACCATTAGCTCGAAATGGCATGATACGCTCGAAAAAATTTCGACATTCAGACTCTCTTACGTTCGAGCATCTTCTTCATTCCGTATCAGATATATATTGTCGATGCAGACGGGCATTCTCATCGTCATGCGCGCGTTCAACGCTCATAAATCCGTCAGGTAATTGAAGTGATTTATTATATGAAATGAGGGTTGTTATTGTTGTTGCCCGGTGTGTTTGCAATGAATTATTAAACCGTATAGCAATATAGGTTGTTGAGTATATGCAAAGATTTTAGACAATACGCCACCATTTTATCACCTCTGAAATCAAACAGTTTTACACTATTACGCGCTTTATACGCCGCAACACTTTCCACCTTATGTCAATTTAATTGATTCAAATGAATTATGATTGTTTGTGCCATTCACGCAACTCGCTGCAGATGGAAATATAATGTCCTTCACTTTTCACAATATAACAACAACAACTTCAAACAAAAAAATGATTCAGGCTTTTTCAATGGGCTAAGCAAAAAAAAAACCCACATAATTTATATCACTTGAGATGAAAGCACGAAGATAATAAGATCTATCGTTTGTTTGTACGTTTGTTTCGGCGGATAGCGTTCCAGTTACTCATACAAAAATGCCTTCCGAACGCATTTTGGCAAGGGCATCACGAGCGATCATAATTTTCTTTAAATAAATTGCTTTCATTTTGTGCACTTTTTTTTCGTTCTCTTGCGCATTTGGATTTTTGCTGTGTGTGTTTTTTTATATTAAAGTTCTCAGTCAGAGAAATGGTATAAGCGGGTGAACGAGTGAATGAAAACGGCGCCATCGTTTAAATGTGAGAGAGATAAAATCGTAATTGATAAATACATATTGAATGGAGTTCAAAGGTGAAAGACTTCGGACTACTTTCTCTACCATATTGTCGGCTTCATAAAATGTTAAACTCGTTTCTCTTACTCATTCCTACCCAAGTTCATTCGATAAATGAATAAAACCGGGGAGCAAAAAAACCGTTTTTGGCTTAATCGTCTTTTGGATAGACGAAGAAAACTTTGGCATAATTAATTTTTTATCTTTTCTTGAATGGTGGAGTTGCGATTGGTGCTCTCTTACTCGTTCACTTGTTCGCTATGAATAAAAAACTTTACATTACGATCAACAGCAAAAACTATGGCAAAATCGATATTTTATGAAAGCGTCAGCAGAAGAAACACATCAAGATAACATCATGTTTAAGCTCATTCCATATTTAATGAGAGACTTAGCCTGAACGACAAAAAAAGCACAGGCAAATTGCATTATGAATAGCTACGATTTCATTTCAGAATAGATGCACACGTAGAGAAAAAGAAGGAGAGGACGAAGAAGAAAAAAAAACTTTTCAAAGTTTTCCGAAACGAATGAAAATGTCAAAGTAACAAAAGTAGAATTGCAACAACTGAAGAGAACTTGAATTTTTCTGTAGAAGTGAACGTAATCACTCTAAATACTAAGGTATTATACATATAGTTTACCGTTTTCGTGCTTATATTTCTTGGTTTTTGAGCAGAAAAAGTGACTTAAGTCATTATTTTCTTTTCTCATTCACTTTTTATGGGAAACAAGATTTATGTTAAATGTTTCTGTCGAATTGTCTTTGGCTGCTTACTGTCCTCAACGCTGTGTATTTTGTGAGATCGAATGTACTTTTCGACTTGTCCGATTTACGTGTACTTCGGAAATAGACAGCTCGAAAGTTACAGAAGTTATATTTGCAGATAATTTTATCTCTCTTTGTTAATATACTTAAGGCATTTGAGATGTTTGTAAAATGAGCTTAAATAAAATATTTATTATATTAAATGTTTTTGGAACACTGACGAAAATTTTATATTACAGTTGAGAGGAATACGTAGGAGGTCATGAAAACGTGAATTGAGGGCCTACAATTTTTTCAATTTTATCATTAGAGGTATGAGGTCGTCTGTTAAGTGAGAAAATTATGGTTAAGGAGAGAGAGAGAGAGAGAGCAATTGAAGTGCATTTTGAGATTCATTTAAAAAAAAGTACATTGACAGAGAGCGAACGATTTGACATTGTTAGTACACTAATTTTATATCGAGCCGAGACGTACGCCCAAACAGACAAAAGGCGAAAATGCGTTGTTCACACATTTTCTGGTTGTTTTCTTCTTCGTAGGCGCCTGTTCTGTTGTCGTGATGTTTTTCGGTACTTGATTTTTTTTGTTCTGAGCTGGTTTTTTTGTCTGTTTTCGTTGCAGAAAGTTTTCGTCTCCCTTGTTTCATATCCTATAATTGAACAATGGCTTTTATCTTCGAGTCGCGCGAGAACGGTCTTTTGTGTCAGGTTTTGGGGTAAATACAACAGCCTGTTATATAAATTCGATTGAAATGGTCAAGTGAAAAATACCGTAAAATCTTACCTTAACGGGTCTTTAATATGAATATATCGATCCAATGAAATAGCGCATAGATTTAGGATCGAAGCCGTTGAACACATCACGTCGAACGCAACCCAAGTGTCGCAAAATTGTGCGCCGAATACCCAATAGCCTAAAAAAATATGGTAAAAAAAAAGAGAAAAAAAATTACACAATGAGAAACATGAGGATGAGGAAAGAACGACATAAAAACCAAGACAGACACATTTTTCAATGGTCTGCATATTTTGTGAATGAGTAACTGTTGTAACTTAGAATAAAGTAAGGTTCAACGTGTACATGTACATGATCTGTGTGGTAGTAAGAGAGATACAAAAAAAAGAGTTCGAGTAAAAGATGTTGTATGAAGGGAAAACCTCCTGATTTATACTCAACTCATAATTTTTGGCAATCCGAAAAAATAAAGTTTTCTATATTTTGCGTCCTTGTTTATTATTATTATTTATTATGTGGCATATTCTGTTTACAACTCTCGTATAAAATGGAAAATAGAAAGGGATCTTGCATAATTTCGTTTATTTTTCTTCACGTTCTTCATTTTATGCGCTGAATTTAACGATGGTTTTAAAAAAAGAGGTATAGCCAAAGTAAATTGAAAATTGAAGAAAATTGAAGAAAAAAAATTTGATATTAAAAAATATGGAGGCTTAAATTGAAAAATGAAACGGAAATATGTTTTGAAAATTAAATGGAAAAAAGCGTGAACTTTAGCAATGAGCGTATTTCTCTGAAATGGAAAGTATGTCGAAAAAAAAAGTTTAACATGTAAATTGTATATGTATATGACATTTTCATGTGCGCCACTGCTTTCGCCAGAAGACATTTCACATTTGATTTTCACCGAATGCTCACGCGACTTGCAACTTTTCATCGTCAACAGTTGCAGTATCATTACAATTCGTTCCGGACAAATTGAAGTTGGACAGTATAAATGAACAGGGAATACGATATGCAAAAACGGAAATTCAGTTATAAAATGAAGAAGAGAATGAGCGTGATTCAAAATCCACATTGCGAATTCTGCACACATGATATATTATTATGGAAATTAAATGTAAAACTATTTTGGAAGTTATTTACTTTAGTTGAAAATTAGGTGTGATACAGTCATCAAACTAATAGTTTAAAATAAAATTTATATAGAATTCCCTGCCGAATGCATACAAAAATGACGATGAGTGCAAATGCAAAATCAACCCAAAAATATATTATGGAAGAGGGAGGCTCTGGCTCTCTTTCAATCTGCAGTGCAAACATTTCTATTTCATGTTACATATTATTATTAATTCCATCAAATTAAGCTCAATTTTATGAAATTATTATTGTTATTATATCATATTTCACTGAACTTGATATTCTATTCAGAATCTTATTATGTGTTTTTTTCTCTTTGAAGATAAAGGAACATACAATGGTGATTTTATTGCCAGAAGCCTAGCTCATATTTCATATTACTATTCGTCATACAGAATCCATTTCAATTTTCGTTCGAGAACCGAACTCAATATACCTCAAATGTGTGTGTGCCACGACGTTGTATTCGAGCGTGGACGAATGTATAGTGCATCAATTGACTGCAAAAATTGGATTGTGTGTATTTATGATGTGAAAAGCGATAGCGCGCTCCATTTTGCTAAAACCATCAAGAGGAGATAGATCGGTTTAGAATTGTTTTATATTGTGTATGAGGATTCATATAAATCATACAAAACTTGTCACAACTGACACAATTTAATCAATGCCAATTTGACGCGATTTGCGCATAATTTATGAAATGCTTTAGCTCTGTCCCTATTGTTCAACCAAATGCACGCACACATCGAACAATTGAGTCAGTGTGTGTGTGCATATGGCGTTGGTATGCAACTAACTACGGTGTATTTAGAATATATATTGAAAATTCAGTCATTTTATTGCTCAATGAAATGATTGCATGAAATCACTTGGAATGTATGATCCAAATGAGATAGGCAAACAAAGCTGTTGAGAGCCGCCAAAAACAGCATCGTCAATTATCTATAATCAAATTGAATTGAAACACAAACGGACCGAAGACATTGTACAGCCAAAGAACTGTGTTTGCAATGAATCACACACACACATTATATACACATCATTTAATCTATATTTATATTTATATATATATGCCACCTGAAATCATTTTTGTTTACACAGTAAACCATACATATACAGTTACTGTGTATACAATTTGCTTTAATCATCATCCAGATATGCTGCATTTAAATCTATGATAAATAAATACCAAGAAATGTAATAAGGGTACAGCTCAAAGCGAAAAATTTGCCGAATTCGAATAGTTTGTGTGAATCATTTGTATGAAATAAATTTCTTTGAGAACGACATTTCTTGCAAATGACTTTGTTCGAATGTATTTTGTTTCAGCATGCATCTGATAAATGTTTGTTTTCACAAGAAATACCAATCTATATATTTATATGTACGATAAACAAGCAATCAAAACCGTACATTCGGTAAGTTCTTTGATTGCAGTATGTTGTATTTTTTGTGAGATTGAGAGAAAATGGTTTTGATTCTGACATTTGAACTTTGAATGTAATGGGTATTCTTTTTGTTGATTGCAACGTAGTCAAGTACCAGATGTGTGTGTAAGGTTTTTATATTTCTGTTTCAGCACAACTTATGGATATCGCCTGAAGAAAATGTTCTTTATGAGAATGTATGAGTATGTGCGCATGAGTTTTACTATATAAATATAAACAATTTTAAAGTTCTATCATCAACAAATCGTGTGCAGAACAATACGACCGTCTCAATTTTATCAATGTTTTGGAAGGATTTGAATGTCTGAAGTGTATTCTGTGATCTGGGAGTAACTGTAGTATCTGCATTACATTGAGTGTGAGGGAAAATGTCTGAATGGCTAAGGAGTAATTTGAGAAATCGTATATTAATCCTGAGAAAACTCATTTTATCTTGTTGAAAATGGGTCTTACAGGAAAAATTAAAGAGTAAGTAAAGTGACCGCTTATTTTTGATGAGCTGGGGGAAATGTTTGATAATCAAGTGGCTCAGATCTTTCCATAAAAAATGTCTATTTCTTTTCCTTTTCTTTCTTTTCTTAATATTAATTTACATTTGGGTCTTTAAAATGGCAAAAATGGCTCAGTTTTATTTCCTACAACAACAAAAAACCGCCATCAAAGAAATACGCGAAAAAAGTACTTCATTAGATGAAAAGTTTCTTTTTTTGCTGAGTAAAGCAAATTCACTGATTGTTCATTCAATCGTAACTTTTTATGTTTTATCTTCGTTCGCAAACTGAATATTTTGCATTGTATTGTTAATCATTGCAACGGAATTCACTATTATGATGATTCTTTTCAGAAATTAGGAGGAGTAGTAAAAAAAGAGAAAATCTTACGTGATGTAAAAAAGCGTAAAAATGACGACAATCCAAATATAAAAGAGAAAATGTTCCGTTAAAACTGAACTTAAAATGGTTTGATGCACAGGTGGTCTGAAAAAAAGTGCGGACAATGCAAACGGGAATTTGACAAACGGATATAAAAGCAATTGCTTTCAAGGAAATATTCTACAAAATCCATTTAGAATTGAAAGAAACAAGAAAACGAAAAGGTACTGGATTTAAAAAATAAAATGCTTTTGGCATAAGTCACGATTTGATATGATTGAGGAGTGAATTAAAGTGCTGAAAAAGCACAAGCATTTATCCAAGTTTTATATGTTACAAGTAAACGAAAAATAATATCCATGAAAAGAGCGATCGAAATAGTTTCCATTTTAAGTTGAGAGTCGTACGAATATGGGATTGGAATGTAACAAAATAATGCGTTTGATAATATTTTGTTTATGAAATGCAGTAGTCGGTAGAAAAGGAATGTTGACATGTGTAGGAATTTCAATTAATTCTCGAAATCAAAGCTGAATGTTATTGTTTCATTGGAAGATATTGCCTTACATTCTAGTTTATATTTCCATTATTAAATTGTTGAAATTGTGAACGCTTTCTTGTTATTAGAAAATGACACAATTTTTTTTGCCATCATCACCATTGGTGCTATGGATAAAAAGAAAATAGAAAACTATAAAACTGTGCCGTTGTAGTCGCAATAAAATACTTGTATAATAATAGTTGGAAGTTGTAATATAATTGTTAAATTGAGCTTTTTGAATAATTGATAAATTTGATGATGATGCTTTATTTAAACTTTCTACGATTGCACAACATTAATGCAATTATAAATTGTCTATTAAAACATTTCAGAGTGGAATTTCATTTAGTTTAAGGATTTTTCCGTGGAAAAACAAAAACGGTTTTTGTTGGAACATTTACATTGGCATGAGTAATGTGGTGCATTTGTTAGTTGTATTCAACGAACAATTTTAATATTGATGGTACTTTGGTGGAAAATAGTGGAGGTGCGCTAAGTTCGAGTACGCAACAACGCGCCGTAAATCGTATTTGAAAATGTACACGAGCACCCGTGTATGCAGCACAAAACATTAAATCAAAGCGAAAATGTAAAAGCAGTAAAATGTTTGCGAATATGGCAAAATCAGGTTCTTTCGAGTGGATTTTTGTGCTTTGCTCCCTCTCTTTGTGTGTGTTTACAATTATCATTTTGGCGAATTTATTACAAATGCACCAAATTTATCTGCAACATTGGAATGTTTGATCTCGAAAATATGATTTATTGTTGTTTTCGCATTGCGAGAGGTATGAAAACTTAAAATGATGACACACAAACGCCATCATCATCATCGTCAGCATCATCATCATCTGCATAATATTGAATTTCAGTGGCAGTCGGCTGTTTTGTTTTCGTTTGTTCACACGCTCTTTGCCCTTCTATCTCTCTTTGTGTTTCTCGCCCAGATGAAATTTTATATGTTTATGTTAACAATTTCTCTCGCTTTCTCTCTTTCCATAGTTGGTTAAATTTTGCATCATTTGCATTTTGGTCTGATTGTGAAATGCAAATTGTTAAGAACATTTGTTGTGAAACGTATTCGCTGTGGAAAGTAACGACCGAATTCAAGCGCATGTTGCAAATGTGGCATTTCGCAAACACGAGCCCTTTTCACGAAAAATAATACAAGTTAGATACT